AAATTTGCCACGTAGGAAAGGCACCCGCTGCCGTGGCCTAGGTTTCTCACTGAAAATCCTCGTCCCCCGGCGGCACCTTTTTTTGAATTTTCTTCCTTTTCAACGCCGTTTTTCGGGAATTTCGGATTTTCTTTGAATTTTTTCGCAATAATATTCGGAAAATAGATAACTTTTAACACATTTTAATGCAATTAAAATATTTGGTCGGAGTCCCCCTTTAATTAACATATAATATTATACTAGAATACTGTATAACCATGAATGTATCATTTTGTTTGCAGAAAAATAGAGAAAATAACCGGAAGACAAAAGTCAAAAGCAAGAAGCCGAAATTTCGAAAAACTCTGGAAGAAGCATTGCTTCTGTACTTTCAAAAGGTAAGAAGCGTCCAGAAAATCCGAATTCTTAATCTAACTTTTACAGGGTGCCAGAAAATATCAATTTTCCTGTATGTCGACTGCGCACTCCGGAAAAATGCAACTGAGAATGAGGAAGGAAAAAAGTTCTGGAATAGTGGGTAAATTTGAAAACGAAAATCAGAGAAAAAAGTTGATTTCAGACGGAAGTGTTAAGTTCGCGGATTTCGAAAAAAAAAATGTTCAGTCGATAACTTGTGTCAGAGGTATAGTACAAAAAGAATTGGGAGCTTAAAATCTAGATAATTCATTTCAGTTACTTCGAAACAACAATCAACATCATCTTCTGCTCATCGTCATCGACTGAGGCAAAAATGGTCAAAACGAGAAGCTCCGATGCCGTTTCAGCCAGTTCGACAACAGCGGAAGAGAATAATATAACTTTTAATTAATTGTTTTTTCGCTTTTCATTGTTTTTTCTGTGTAATAAACAATTTTTAGCAGCTGCTAGCTTCCAGATTCGAAACAATTTATGCCAATTATTGCTCTCGCGACAAGCCAATTGTAGGAGATTTGCTCGCGATAGGGCGAATATTGGTCGTTTGCGGTGGCGCGTTCGCGATTGGTCTGTAAATGGCCTGCGGCAGGCATGTTCCGATGTACCCATGGCAACTTTCCGCGAACAATATTTCAGCTATTATAGACGCTGCGCGAATCACCTGTGTCCGGCGTGGCGGGCAGGCGCGCTAGCCGCTACGCCAAGGGTGCAAGATCTCACAAGGAGCGTGGAGGCCGTATATGAATGGTGGGCGTGCGGGAAGAGGGCGGCGGGAGGCGGAAGGAAAAAATTAGAAATTTTCAAAAAAATGGAAAAGTGCCAAAAAATTTTCCAGAACGTTCTAGAACGATCTGGATGACTCAAAAATGAGCTCCGCCCAGAAATTCTTTGCCAATTAGCAACAAATTGTGACGTCATTTCACACCTGTCACATTGGATCAGATGCTTGCTGGGGGACAATCCGTGTGACGTAGCATATCAAACGAGAGAGTACTAGGATCGAGGAGGGTGGGGAGAGAAGACAGACAGCGGCTGCACAAAATATATCGAGCTCAGGAAGAGATGTTTTTTTGGAAAAAAAAATTCAAAAAAACATTTTTTTTGGAATAAAAATTGTCTTTTTTACAGTACAAAGATGAAAATGAAATAATTAAACGGACCCAAAACTGTCTAAAATACAATAAAGATGTGAATTATGCACTAAAAATCGCCGAAAAATCAATCAGTTGGCATTGATCCGGTGTGCTTCTCGATTTTGTCCACCAGACCGAACTTCAACGCCTCCTGAGCGCTCATGAAGCGATCGCGGTCCAGGGTTCGCTCGATTTCCTGGAAAATTGAAAAAAAAAACATTTTTGAAAAAAACTTTTTTTTTTCAATCAAAAGTGCAATTTTTGCTTTACATCATAACTAATTCCAGTGTGATGAACGTAAATTTCGTTGAGTCGCTTCTTGAGACGCGTAATTTCTTCCGCACGAATGACGATATCCGAGCAGGTGCCCTGAAATTTGTTTGAATTCGAATTCCCGCGCAAAACCCGGCAAAGCCCGCAATTGCGCGTCGCGGTGTTTGGCACATACACCACGACGCGCAATTGCGGTGCCCACTTTTTCAGGCCAATTTTCTTCAATTTTTCTCGTTTTTCACCGAATTTTCTCGATTTTTTTTCGGATTTTCAGCACGAAAAATGTCTGGAAACGCGCAGAAAAAAGCGGCGAGTCGCTCGATGGCCACCAAGAAGCTTATTATCGATGTGAGTCCTGAATTTTTGAAAAAAACATTTTTTTTTCAAAAATGTTCAGGAATTCAAACGACGCCTCAGGGACAATATCAAATCGCTCAACGACAATTTTTATCATATCATTCAGGCGGCAAAGGTAAAATTAGAAAAAAATGTAAAATTTTTTCAAATTTCAGGTCAACCCCGACGACAACGCGTTCAAAAACCAGACGGGAAAGATGACCGAATTCTACACCATCAAAAATGAAATGGCCGTTAGAGCGCAGTTGATGGTAGATGGAAAATTGAAAAAATTTCAAAAAAGATTTTTTTTTTTCAAAAATTCAAATTTCTCCAGGTTCGCGCCTCCGACGAGCTCCTCCGACTGACCACCGATCTCAAGGAGTTCCTCATTCTTCACGATTTCCACTTTTTGACCCATAATATTAAGCAGTGAGTTGGAAATTTTTAAAAAAATTTCAAATTTTGGCGCCAAAATGTTTTTTTTCAAAAAATTTGATTTTTTTGCAATTTTTGTATTTTTAGACCCAAAAACTGAATTTTCGTGTTTTTTCACACGAAAAATGCTTGAAAATAAACGATTTTAGGCCGAAAAATTCCATTTTTCCGAAAAAAAAATTCAAAAATTGAAAAAAAAATTTTGGCGCCAAAAAAGAATTTCGAAAAAAATTGATTTTTTTGCATTTTTTGTGTTTTTAGACTTTAAAAAACCGAATTTTCATGTTTTTTCACCCCAAAGTTGTCCTAAAATCAACGATTTTGGGCCTAAAAATTTCATTTTTCAAAAAATTCCAATTTTCATCTTCCAGAGCCGAATCCCAATGCGAAGACACCCTTCGCCAACAATCCCATCTTCATCAGGCTCTCGACACGGACGTCAGCAACATGTTGTTCGCGTTGGAGGAGGAAATCGCCGACAATTTCTTTCTTGGACACTAATTTTTTTGATTTTATGTACATTTTTGACCCAAAAATCGATTTTTTGAGGTTTTTAAGCTGAAAATGGCCGATTTAGAGCCTAAAATGACCCAGAAAAACTTGTAAATTTCCATTTTTCAAAAAAAAATATTTTCTAATTTTTTTTCAAAAATTCTAAAAATAAATTGTGATCTCTGCTAGCTTCAAAAATATCGATTTTCATCTATTCCGGCTCGAAAAACTCTATTTTAGAGCGATTTTCTCCAGAAAGCCTAAAAGAGCTCCAGAAAGCCTAAAATGCCTATTTTTCCCCCAAAAAACCTATTTTTCTCGAAATTTCCCCTACCTGAGCCCCTCCACTCGGCTGATGGACCATAATCCTGGCGTTCGGCAGTGCACTCCGCATGCCCTTCTCCCCAGCCGCCAACAGCAACGATCCCATTGAACTGGCTTGTCCGATGACCCACGTGGCGACTGGAGCACTGATCATTTGCATGGTGTCATAAATGGCGAGACCGGCGGTTACACTTCCTCCTGAAAATACAAAAATTGTAGAAAAAACTGAAAATTGTTTGAAATAGCTGAAAAACTACTATAAAAAAATGAAAAAAAGTAAATGGGCCGAACCGGGGATTGAACCCGGGACCTCTCGCACCCAAAGCGAGAATCATACCACTAGACCATTCGGCCACTTTCTTTCTTCGCTCTTAAGGGCGTATAGGAGACGCGCGCTTTTGCTTTTCCTTTCCGCGTGGCGCCGCAGCCTCCTGTACGCCCTCCGCCGCTTCTCTTGGAATGCAGTCACGTGGTCTTGTGGTAAGATTCTTGGCTTTGACGCGAGAGGTCCCGGGTTCAATCCCGCTGTGGCTTTCTTCCTTTTTATGTCTTTTTTAAGCGTTTTAAATCAATTTTCAGCGTTTCTACCCTTACCCGGACTATTAATATACATGTGAATCGGCTTTTTCGAGCTCTCACTCTGCAAAAACAGCAGCTGCGCAATCAACGCGCTGGCCATGAAGTCGTCAACCTGAATTTCAAAATTTTTCGCATTTTCAAAAAATCAAATTTCCCGCCCAACCGGTGTCATCAGACAGACGATGCGATCGCGAAGCAGACGCGAGTAGATGTCATACGTTCGTTCGCCTTTTCCCTCGTTATCGATAACGAACGGAATGCCGACGCGCGCCTGGGTAGAAGACGTAAGATTCCGCACAGATGACGTCGTCAGGATTCTTCGGAGCATCTTTTAAGACTGAAAATTATCTAGAAATAGCTGAAAATCGAGAGAAAAAATGAGCAAAAATAGGTCAAAAATCGCTAGAAAACGGGCGAAAAACCACACAATGAAAAGTGCCACGTGGCGAATGGGATGTTGGTGCCACGTGGCTTTTCGAAAGGTCACCTTTTTTTTTTGGCGGGCTAATTCAAAATTCATTTTACGTAAAATTTGGAAATTTGGGGTCGAGAAGCAGCAATATATAGAGAAAAATATAGTACAAATTTCTGGAATTTTAAGACAAGAAAAAGTTGGAAAAAATCAAAAAATTCGCTCTCTCTGATCACAGAACAGATTATTTGGGGAATGTGTTGAAAAATGGGGGAAAATATCGATTTTTTTGGAAAAATTTAAGAAAATGTGTATAATTTATCGGAAATCCTCTGGATTGAAGAGTCCACGAGCGCGGTTGAGGATGGAGTCCTGGAAAAATGGATGATTTTTTGAAAAATTCGAATTTTCGAGGCGAATTTGAAAATTTGGAAATTTTCAGAGATTTTTAGCTGAAAAATAGCTTAAAAATTCAATTTTTGGCGGGAAATTTGTATGAAAATTAGCTTTTTATTTTCAATTTCAGTTTGGCGGGAATTCGAAAAATTTGAATTTCTGGGTTTAAAAAATGTCGAATTTCAAGGTTTTTCCGACTTGAATTAGCTGAAAAATCCCGCCTAAAATCGTCATTTTTTGTGATTTTTGGCGGGAAATTCGAATTTCCTTGAGATTTGTAGCAATTTTTTCAAATTACTTGGTCCAAAATTTCGATTTTCTCGAGATTTTTAGCCCTTTTCAGCTGAAAATTAGCTTTTTTTTTTCAATTTTGGCTTGGCGGGAATTTAAATTTTTTGAATTTTTAGCCATATTTTTTGCGAATATTTACAAATTTTTTAGGCTAAAAATCTCGAATTTTCAGAAGTTTCGCTGAAAATTGGCTGAAAATCCTGATTTTTGGGTCAAAAAATCTCAGAAAAAAAACATTTAATTTTTTGGCGGGAATTTGAATTTTTCGCGTTTTTTTCAGCCATTTTCAACTTTTTCGAATTTTTGAACTAAAAATGTCGGGCTGAACACGTTTCTGACTGAAGATTGGCTGAAAAACCGAGACTTTTGAGTCAAAAATCTCAGGAAAAATTCTGCGTTGAAAATCTCGAATTTTCCGAAATTTTGCTGAAAAATGGCTGAAAACCCAGATTTTCAGTCAAAAATTCCAGGAAATAATTGAATTTTCCGCGTTTTTTCAGCCATTTTTTGCGAATTTTTCAAATTTTTAGGCTAAAAATCCCGATTTGAACACGTTTCTGATGGAAAATTTGGCGGAAAAATCCGATTTTCGGGTCAAATCCCGAAAAAATCGAATTTTTCTAGGATCTAAAATCTCAAATTTCAAGGTTTTTCCGCCGAAAATTAGCTGGAAAATCTCGATTTTTAAATCAAAAATTGCGAAAAAAAATTGAATTGTTTGGCGGGAATTTGAATTTTTCGAGTTTTAGCAACGTTTTTTTTCTAATTTTTCCAACTTTTAGGCTAAAAATCTCGAATTTCAAGATTTTTCAGCTGAAAATTAGCTGAAATCCGCGATTTTTTAGTCTATAATCGTTATTTTTCACCTTGGACGGGTCGTATGGAGCCTCCTTGGATGGGATTTCGAGCACAGCTGGAATGGATTGAGTGTGTTGATCGACCTGGAAAAATATGGGTTTTTTGTTGAAAATAGGCTTAAAATCACATTTTATCGCTGAAAATTGACCTAAAACATCGATTTTGGACCAAAAATATCGAATTTCTGAGGATTTTTAGGTGAAAATCTTTGAAAATTGGAAATTTAGCGTCTAAAATTACCATTTTTCGAGCATTAGAGCTATAATCGGCATAGCCGCAATTTGGCCTTGAAAAAGTGGTTTTTAGCTCACAAATCGCCGGAAAACGCATGATTGGCTCATTTCAAGCGAAAAAACCACTTTTCCAGGCTAAAAAAGCCCATGTTCAGCCATTTTCTCCCTACTAACAGCGTAACGGATCATCTCGGCGATGTGCTGATTGATGAGAATGATGGCGACGTCGTCGCGAGCGCAGAATCCCTTGAAAGCGTCCTCGATCTCCTGAATGGTCGTCTGCTTGTCGACGATCAAGTAGTTGGGCTTGCGAGCCTGGAAATAGTGATTTTAAGTGAAATTTTAGAAGAAAATCCGAATTTTTGGGCTAAAATTAGGCCTAAAACTCAATTTTCGCTGAAAAATTCGATTTTATCAACGAAAAGCCCACCTTGTTGAGCTCTCCAACACCACCGAGCAAGAAGCCGACGACGGTGTCCTCGTCTCCAATGACAGCCAGGATCTTTCCCTTCACAGCGGATGCCATAGCTGAAATTTTGGGTTTTAGATAGAAAAATGACGATTGTCACGATTTTTTGAAGAAAAATCACTAATTTTATGGGTTTTTTTTCAACATAAAATAGCTGGAAAGTGACCGAAATATGAAAAAATGACAAATTTTGGAATTTTCCGGAAATCAGTTTTTTTCGAATTTTTCTCAGAAATCTGCTCGTTTTCGAGGTTTCTAGACCTGAAAATTCGAATTTTCAGCCTAAAACCAACCAAAAAATGACCAAAATCTGAGAAAAAAGAGAAATCTTAAAATTTATCAACAATCTGGATTTTTTTTCGGAATTTTAGTGTTTCTCGGGGTTTCTAGACCGGAAAATTAAAATTTTCGACAAAATCAACAAAAATCGCTTGAAAAAACAAAAATCGAGAAAAAAAGCCAATTTTTGAAATTTTCGAGAAATCAGTTTTTCAGAATTTTTCTCGGAGTTCTGGTGTTTTTTGGGGTTTTTCGACACGAAAACTCCAATTATCAGCCTGAAATCAACTGAAAATCGCTTAAAAACAATGAAAAAACAGAAAAATCGGCACAATTTTCATGTTGAAAAATTTCGTTGAAAAAATCCCGATTTTTCGACGTTTCCCCTTTTAAAATCCATTGAAACATTTGAAAAATGTGACAAATCAAAAAATTTCACCTCGAAACCAAAAAAAATCGATTCAAAAAGGTTGAAAACCAACGGAAACCGCCTCGACTAGAGACGAAAAATCAACCGAAAGTGGGCGGAGTCGACCATCTGCAACGCGCCGCACGCCATTTCGCAGAGTGTGCGGCAGGGTTTTCACTTTTTGTCGATTTATTGTTTCAGCCTATTTCAGGGCCGTTTTTCGTGCTGAAAACTGCTAGAAACCTGGAATTTTTTGCATAGAATTAAAAGAAAGGAAACAGAGGAGTTTATAAAAATATTTATTCAAGAAACTCTCATCATCTCTCGCCGCATAACCCTTCTCAATTCCTCATCTTCACTATCGCTAGCATTTTCGATATATGGGCTTACAGAGCGGATAGTTCCGGTATCTGTAAAACTGGAACACTTCTGAGGGAGTTGTTTAAGCTGGGCAACCGGTGGAGTTGACCGATTGCTCATGCTTATTCTTCCCAGAAGCCAAAAAGTTTCCATAACTCCTTTCCCTTTAATTATCACCTCTCCCCGGGAATTTGTCTCGTACTGATAGGGAAAATGGTCAACTAGAAAAGCATGAGCAATTTCAGACATATGAATTAAAGACGCTTTTCCATTTGACTCCATCCTCGACGCAGTGTTTACAGTATCCCCAAACAGACAGTAACGTGGCATTGACAGACCAACGACACCAGCGACGCAGGATCCTGAAACGAAAATTTGGATTGGCGGGAATTTGAAAATTCAAAACAAAAAATCAGAAAAAATTACCACTATTAACTCCAACTCTTAGCTCCACCCTCTCTCGCGGCAAGTGGGGAATTCGGAATTTGTCGCAAAATTCTAGGAATCCTAAAGCCATCTCGACGATTTGTCTGAAAAAAAATAAACAAATCGGCTGGAAATCATCCCGAAATGCCTTTGAAAGACAAAAAAAGTAAATGGGCCGAACCGGGGATTGAACCCGGGACCTCTCGCACCCAAAGCGAGAATCATACCACTAGACCATTCGGCCATAATGTTTCATAGCTCTTAAGGGCATATAGGACGCGCGCGTTTGGAAGTTCCGCGCAGCGGCCGCAGCCCTCCGCGTTGTGTACGCCCACCGCCTCACATTTTAAACTGCAGCATCGTAGTGTAGAGGTAAAACGCCAGCTTTTGGTGCGAGAGGTCGCAGGTTCAATCCCCGCTTTGGCTTTTTTCTTTTTTTTCGCTTTTTTTTTGAGACTATTACCTAATATGTTCCACTCCATTTCTATTGGGCAACCCGGAAACACATAGAAAACCATCGCCGATAGATTCTACCTGCAAAAAATTGATAATAAAAAACTAGTTTTTTTAATCAGTTACCTTGTAAACATCATGTTTTTCAATGATCGCATCGAAATTGCTGAAAACCTCGTTGAGTAGATTTACAACTTGAAACGGGGAACATTTATTGGCCAACTCCGTGAATTTGACGAGATCCGAAAAGAATACGGTAACTAGATCGAAACTTTCCGGTTCCACCGCTTGGCCGGCTTTCAGACGTTCTGCGACTTGTCTGAAAATAATAAAAAGAGTTTCAGACACTAGCTGGATTTGTGTCAGTCATTTTGGATCAAAAACCAGGTTTCTAGCACATCTAGGAGCCGAGATACAGCCAACTAAAATTTGAAGAGACGCAGACAGCTAGAGTGCTCTCGTTGTCTGCATCTCTCACCTCCATCATTAAAAATGGCTATATCTCAGCTTCTAGATGTGCTAGAGAGTTGGTTTTTCTTTTAAATGACCTATTTTGACTGGGGATTTCCAGTCATATAGTTTTTTTTTGAGGCAACAGAACAGTTTGGATTTTGAAAATTTTGGAAGTTTTCCAATTTTTTCTGAAATTCATAAAAACCGTAAAATTTGTTGCTACTCTGCGAAAAAACCAACCTTATAGGACACCTGAGAGTCGAGTTATAGTGATTTGAAGTTTTGGAGGCGAGAGACGCCAGACAACGAGACACGCTGCGTCTCTAACCTCTCAAACTTCAAACGCCTGTATCTCGGCTCCTAGAAGAGCTAGAAAGTTGGTTTTTGAACAGAAATGAAGCTCAAAACACACTTTTTTTGAATTCCAGCCAAAATATAGACATTTCAAAATTTTGTTTTGAAGAAATTTAAAAAAAACCAAAGTTGTATTATTAATTTCCTTAAAATACCTTTTTCCAATGTTTTTCTGTCAAGGAACCAACTTTCTAGCACACCTGGAGATAAATCGCTTTGGAGTTTAGGAGAGATGCCGACAGCTATAGTGTCTGGTTGTCTGCGTCTCTCACCCTCAATTGATAAAATGTGTATATCTCAGCTTCTAGATGTGCTAGAAAGTTGATTTTTGAACAGGAAAAGAGCTACTCACTTCGGCAACATTCTCCCCAACAAAATATCCGATTTCTTCTTCTCCAAAACCAATTCTTTGGTCCTTTCATCCACCTCAACCTCCAAAGTCTGCGTATATTCCTCCAACATTGAGAACACATGATCCATTAGATTATCTTTGGTCCTTGGTGTCATATCCAAAATTATTTTACAGATATTTTCAGTATTCGGACGGGCTTCCGGGTTTTCCGACCAACAATCTTTGACCAACGCGAGGAGGGACTTGTTGACATCGGAATCCGTTAGAAGAGTTGGTCGAAATGGATGGGGTCCACCTTTTTTGACATTATAGATGATTTCTGAAACTGGGTTTTTTCTAAATTTTGTATTCTTGAAAAAATTGCCAATCCGAACTACAAATCGGTGCAAAAATCAAGATTCCAGCTTACCTGGGAGCCGAGATACAAGCGTTTGAAGTTCGGAGAAACGCAGACAGTCATCGTTTCTCGCTGTCTGCGTCTCTCGCCTACAACAGGGAAAATGCCTATATTTCAACTCCTAGATAAGCTAGAAAGCCTATTTTTGAATTCCCCCGCTTACCCTCATAACCCTCCTTCCGCTTGTGCAGGTCCCACGCCTCCTTTTTGGTTAGAATCTCCGAGGCAACAATTGCAAATGAGTACACGTCGGCACTCGGATCCATTTGGGATACTGTAAGTGAGCCGCGTAGCACTTCTGGCGCCGCCCATAGAAGACGTTTTTGAGTTGGACGTTCCTCGTCGTCCTGGAGAAATTCCAGTCCAAATTCTGCTAGTTTTACTTGCCAGGAGTCATTTACAAGACAGGTGGCCGAGCGGAGGTTTCCATGAAGGCGGAGGAATGATTTGTGAAGGAAGTTGAGACCCTGAAATGTCAGAAAAACATAAAAATTTGAAAAACACTTCGAGACCGTTTTCAGAACTCAAATCAGCCAATTTTAAGCCAAGTTACAACAATGTGAAGTTTGGACTCATGCGTTGCGGTTGCGTAGCGGCTAACTTTGCTCAAAGTGTCTGGAGCACCATGAAACTTGTTGAACACAATTAAATCAACTGATTCAATGAGCACACAAAATTTCAGTTTTCTGGCTCAATTTTGAGCAGAGTTAGGGCTATTCAAAGTTTTGACCTACGCGGCGCGTTCGCGTCGCGGCTGGCTAACTTTGCTTCTGATGGAGGGAATGGAGTGAAATTCAGAGTGTTTATTTGAAACTATTACAGTAGCATACTGTACAAATTGCAAAACTCTAGGACCACTTGGAAAAAAGTTAGGCAACCGCGACGCGACCACGCCGCGCAGGTCAAAACTTCGAATAGCTCTAACTTGGCTTAAAATGGCCTTGGTAAGCTGGACTTTTGTGAGTCACCTGCATCAGATTATTCCAATTCGCTTGTCAAATTTCAAAGTTCTAGGACAACCCTGAGCGAAGTTAGCCGAACGCGACGCGACCGCGCCGCTTAGGTGAAAACTTCAAACTGCAATAACTCGTTTCAAAATGATCCTGGAACGCTGAAAATTTGTGAGTCAACTTCAAAAACAGGCTTCATTGTGCTCGCTGAATTTCAAAGTTCTAAAACTATTCTGAGAAAAGTTAGCCGACCGCCGTGCGTATGTCAAAACTTCAGACAGTTTACTCGGTTCAACATTATCCTGGAACGCTGAAATTTTGTGAGTCAGTTAAAAAAAGAGACTCCATTGTGCTTGCCAAGCTTTACAGCGCTAGGGCCATCCTGGACAAATTTAGCCAACCGCTACGCGACCGCCGCGCGTAGGTCGAAATGTCGAATAGTTGTAACTTGGCTTAAGATGGCCTTGATAAGCTGAACTTTTGTGAGTCACCTGCATCAGACTATTCCAATTCGCTTGTCAAATTTCAAAGCTCTAGGACAACCCTGAGCGAAGTTAGCCGAACGCGACGCGACCGCGCCGCTTAGGTGAAAACTTCAAATGCCTGTATCTCAGCTCACCGGCGGCCTAGAAACCTCATTTTTTCACCAAACTCACCTCCGCAATATCCCGAATCATACAAAACATGAAAAAGTAGTCCATCGAGAAGTTCCCTCGCGACATAATGTCTTGTATTGATCCACGTGTACACATTTTCCAAACCGCCAGATATCTCGATCCATCGATTGACAGCCCAATGAACTTGTTCAAATTCTCATGATCCAATTTTCGCAATTTTACCAATCGCATTTTGTCCAAATTGGACAATTCCTGAACCTGATGGGCGGTGGTTAGGACCAAATCGTTTTCGAGGAATTGAATTTCATAGTTTTCGTTGAATTCCGATGTTTCAAAATTTTTCGAAGAGGATCCTTTGGAACTTTTGGTTACTGTGGAATTCTCAGAATCTGTGGAAAGTCTCCGCCCCTTTTTTTCGGGAATTCTTAATTTGATGGCGTGAATTTGCCATTCAGAATTTAGCCTTGATTGCTCAGCTCTCTGGTTTCTGACCATTGAGGTGAGACATGTGAAAATTGCCAAAATGAGCAATCCGGCAACAATAACGAATACAAAAATCAATAATCGATATTGATCGAAAAACGGGATGGGGCACGATTTTCCGAGGAATCCACAAATCGGTGTGTCCAATGGTCGAGTGCTTCCCCAAAAGTGCCAAACGTCGCTCGACTCGTTTTGATAGGCCAAACTGACTTTCTGGAATTTTTTTTCATAGTTTTATATGCTTAATTTAGCCAGGATCAAAACACAAATACTACTCAGTTTACCTAAAAAATTTCAGCCAAATCGACCCACTCAGCGCCAAGCTACAAGCATCTAAAGTTTTGACCTACGCGGTGCGGTCGCGTCGCGGTCGGCTAACTTATCTCAGGAGGGTCCTAGCGCTTTGAAATTTCGCAGAGACAATCAAGCCTGTTTTTATTGTTGACTCACAAAAATTCAAGATCCTAGGCCTATTTTAAGCCGAGCTACAAACCTTTGAAATTTTGACCTACGCGTTGCGGTCACGTCGCGGTCGGCTAACTTTGCTCCGGACGGACCTAGCAATTTGGAGTTGGGCAAGCATGGTTCAATCTATTGGTTTAGTTGGCTAACAAAAGCAGATTTCTAGGACCATTTTAGCCTAGTTACGGGCCATAGAAGTTTTGAGCTACGCGTTGCGGCTTGCTGACTTTGCTCAGGACGGTCCTAAAGCTTTGAAATTTGGTCAGAGCAGTGAAACTGATATTTTCAGTAAAAATGCAAAATTTCAGCTTCCTAGGACCGCTCTGAGCAAAGTTAGCCGACCGCGACGCAGCCGCGCCGCGTAGGTCATAACTACGAATAGCTGTAACTTTGCTCAGCATAGAGCTAGCGAGCTGAAATTTTATGAGTCAACTGCACCAAACTATTATATTTTGCTTATCAAATTTAGAACCTCTAGGACCGTCCTAAGCAAAGTTAGCCAAACGCGACGCGACCGCGCCGCGTAGGTCAAAACTTCAGATGGCTATAATTTGGCTGAAAATTGCCTTAGAACGCTGAAATTGTATGAGTCAATTGCACTAAACGATTGTACTTTGCTTATCAAATTTCGAACCTTTAGGGCCGTCCTATGCAAAGTTAGCCGAACGCGACGCGACCGCGCCGCGTTGGTCAAAACTTCAAATAGATGTACCTTGGCTCAAAATTGAGCTAGCAAGCTCAAATTTTGTGAGGAAGTTACACCAGACAGGTTGAATGTGCTCATCAAGTTTCAAGTTTCTAAGGAGCGAAGTTATCCGACCGCGACGCGACCGCGCCGCGTAGGTCAAAACTTCAAACAGCTGTAACTTGGCTCAAAATTGAGCTAGAAAGCTCAACATTTTAGGATCGAACATCCTGCGCATTTTTCACACAAAAATAAAAAAAAATCTATCTCACCGCTGTCCCGTTGATCAGACTAATATTCATAATCGAAATCTGATCGTATTCCTTGTTGAGCGCGTACACCTGGTAAAGGGGCAGTCTCGACAGCTCGCTGTTTAGTTGTACTTGTCCAGTCATTCCTAAAATCGTAAATTATCGATTTTTCGGGGGAGATTCATACCTTCAAAAGGAGTAGTAAACTTGGAAACCAATAAATCCACATTCCCATAGATGTTCGGATCCGTCGAATTCAAATTCGTCAGAGCCATTCCATACATATAGAAGACGTCGAACAGATGGCGTGCGTATGCTCCCATTCCCTGTAAACTCTGCCTACTTCAAAGCTCCGCCCCCTTTTTTCTTACTGTAGCATTTGCAGCGAGACATTCCGGCGCCATACAGCTCAGTGGAGGCTCTCGAATCGCATAAACTATATTTTTGGTCATATATTGTAGAAATTCTTTATCCCTGATGTCACTGCTCAAATCAATCTGAAAAATGGGTTACTGTAGTTTGTAGTTTGTAGTCTTGTAGTCTACCACAAGCATTTTCGATGCCACACTTTTAGCCAAATCCTCCAATCCATCTGGTGCCACTTGAAATGCTTCCCAAATCGGTGCAAGGCCAGAGTTTACTGTAAACAATCAGCTGACCTAGTTTATTTTGGAATTTCTAAATTTCTAGGCCATCAAAAACTTACGAGGCTTCTTTCCAACCGCCGATTGCACCCCAAACCCGACACTCCTCATGGATAGCATCACATGAACGTATTCACTTGTGTTCATGCCTTGTTTGCCCGCTTGGATCATATAAAACCGTTTTTCAGCACCGGTTTGCGCGCAGAATATGATTACTGTAACGATGCCAAAGTTAAATTAGGAAACTTGAACCTTCTATGATGTCTAGGAGCGAAGATATGGTCATTTGAAGTTTTGACCTACGCGTTGCGGTTGCGTCGCGTTTTTAGTGAGCATATTCAAACCATTTGTTCCAATTGGCTCACAAAGTTTCAGATTCCTAGGACCATCTTAAGCCAAGTTACGGTCCATGGAAGTTTTGACCTACGCGTTGCGGTCGCGTCGCGGTAGGCTAACTTACCTCAGGAGGGTCCTAGCACTTTGAAATTTCACAGAGACAATCAAGTCTGTTTTAATAGTTGACTCACAAAAATTCAAGATCCTAGGCCTATTTTAAGCCGAGCTACAGACCTTTGAAGTTTTGACCTACGCGTGGCGGTTGCGTCGCGGTCGGCTAACTTTGCTTAGAACTTTCCTATCAACTTCGGATTTGGCAAGCACAATGAAGCCTTATTTTAAAGTTGATTCACAAAATTTCAGCTTTCCAGGGTCATGTTGAGCCGAGTTATTACAGTTTGAAGTTTTGACCTACGCGTTGCGGTCGCGTCGCGGTAGGCTAACTTACCTCACGAGGGTCCTAGCACTTTGAAATTTCACAGAGACAATCAAGTCTGTTTTAATAGTTGACGCACAAAAATTCAAGATCCTAGGCCTATTTTAAGCCGAGCTACAGACCTTTGAAGTTTTGACCTACGCGTGGCGGTTGCGTCGCGGTCGGCTAACTTTGCTTAGAACTTTCCTATCAACTTCGGATTTGGCAAGCACAATGAAGCCTTATTTTAAAGTTGATTCACAAAATTTCAGCTTTCCAGGGTCATGTTGAGCCGAGTTATTACAGTTTGAAGTTTTGACCTACGCGTTGCGGTCGCGTCGCGGTAGGCTAACTTACCTCACGAGGGTCCTAGCACTTTGAAATTTCACAGAGACAATCAAGTCTGTTTTAATAGTTGACGCACAAAAATTCAAGATCCTAGGCCTATTTTAAGCCGAGCTACAGACCTTTGAAGTTTTGACCTACGCGTGGCGGTTGCGTCGCGGTCGGCTAACTTTGCTTAGAACTTTCCTATCAACTTCGGATTTGGCAAGCACAATGAAGCCTTATTTTAAAGTTGATTCACAAAATTTCAGCTTTCCAGGGTCATGTTGAGCCGAGTTATAACAGTTTGAAGTTTTGACCTACGCGTTGCGGTCGCGTCGCGGTCGGCTAGCTTTGCTCAGGTCGGTCCTAGCGCGTTGAAATTTAATAAGCACTATGGAATAGATTGTTCTATATGCCTCACAAAATTCAGGTTGCTAGGATTCTTCTGACCAAAGTTAGCCAACCGCGACGCGACCGCGCCGCATAGGTCAAAACTTCAAATAGCTGTAACTTGCCTTAAAATGTTCTGAGCAAGCTGAAATTTTGTGAGCCAACTGCACCAAACGATTCAATTGTGTGTATCAAATTTCAGCTTTTGAGGATTGCACTGAACAAAGTTAGCCAACCGCGACGCTACAGCGCCGCGTTGGTCAAGCTTTCAAACACGGGTATCTCGGCTCCTCTTAACGCTAGAAGGGTGAAATTTTGTACAGTTCTCCAGCATAATTTTTTCTCAGAATTCTCAAGAATTCAGTTAGATAACTTAATTTTTAGCTGAGATACAGCAAAAAACTCACTTCTCGCTCTTGCTTTGATCATTTGCAATGTAGCCACAAAATTTTCCGTATTATTCTGATCCACCTCCTCTTTTATGACAACTTGAACCATTTGTGAATAATTCTCGTCATATAGCGATGTTTCGACGTCTTCAATCACTCCACTACAGTAGTTGAGCTCATTCTTGAAGTAAACCAATGCGATTCGATCCCATCCGTAGAGTTCTAAGAGTGCAGAAGTTACGGTACCCAAACTGCAACAAAAACAATTTGATGGCCTAGAAAATTCCTCACGGCCACCTACGTCATAGAACTCGGCAAAACCGATGTTAAATATGGAAAACGTTCCATATCGGAAAATTCCGATTCGCTTACAAATCCCCATCCTAGAACTGGCTTTTTGTATACTGTCGATAAAGTTCCCATGGCAATTAGGGGTGTCGCACATGGCGGTCCAATTATTACATCGTAATTTTTGGTTTTCATAAAATCCAAACCTGCACGGACAGTTTCAGTCAAATCGCATTCGGTGTACTCCACGTGGAATCTGAAATTCTGGATTTCAACAAAAATGGGCAGGTTATCAGCTTTGTTTTGCCGCAAAAACCAAGTTTCTAGACCTCCTGGGAGCCGAGATATAGCG